AAATCATTTAGGTGGCATTTTAAACTTTTTGTGTTTGTAATAATGTCTTCTAATAAGTTTTTAAAATGTTGTATACTGGCTGTAATAAAGATGACATGATTTCTAAAGTAACTGAAAGAAAGATATGATGCCTTTTATTAAATTAGTGTTTTGACTTGCAGTAATTTCAACATCAACTATTTAAAAATTCTTGGCTCACATTCCAAGAAGTCACAAGACATTAAACATAGCAACAGTTAAACTTTTTTTCGTTTGTATGTGTGTCTAAAACAGTCAATAACCACAATTAAAAATGTATTAAAAAGCTTTTACACAGGTGTGTGAACCTAAGGACTGATACTTTAAGAATAACATGATGTGAAGGATAAATTTTGAGACTTTGCAGCAGATGCTTCTGTATATTCATTTTTTAGAACAAGTGATCATTCTTTTTCTTTTTTTTTCCCCTCCCCCCACCAGGCTTTTGTGTATGTCTAGAGTGATGTATGAAAGAAGTACAATCAGTTTTCCTTTAGAATATTCATTGTTATATCAGTTTAGATACAGAAAACAAAGATTGTGGTTCTGATAAAGGGAGCAGATGTTGTTGGAGGATTGCTCAATTCCTGCTGAGAATCCCATGCAAGCCAATAAGATACTGGTGGAAGTGGATGAAGGAGGAATGCTGAGACAGAACTGTAGCTTGGGATGTCTTTTGTATGCCAAGCAGTCCCACAGTTCAGAGGGTGATGACTGTAGATAGCCTAGGGACACCCCCCTAAATGGCTGTGGGTATGCTAAGAGGCAGGGGCGAGCAGTCCAGGCAGTACTGCCTGTGCACTCCAGAGGCAGATAAAGCCCAGCACTCCTCTGCCTATTTGTGCTCAGCAGCAGAGCTGGCTCACCATCAACCGGCTGGTGGGAGCATGTCTGTGAGATGCCCTTGGTGGGGCTGGAGCCACTGCTGCTCCTGGAACAGCTAAAAGAAGTGTAGATGAAAAGGTACCCGAGAACCTCCTGGCCTCTTTACTCAGGTAACATCTGACTTTAATCTGTCCTGCTCCAGGCACACACAAATCCCTGCCCTTCTCGCTTGGAGATGCCGATGTGATTTGAGCTTTATTCCACCTGAACAGCGCCTCCCCTCCTCTGCTGTGTGGGGACTGTTTAGGTGTGTGATGCTTGCAAGGTCGCTGTGGTGGGTCAGGAGTCACCCTGCAGGAGTAGGCCTTTGAGAAGAATACTGTAGCTACGCTGAAGTTGTGTTTGTAAAGAGACACTACTTAGTACAAGCAAAAGCGTTGGAGCAGAGCCCTTAATGAGGGAGAGACCATGGTCTATACACAGTAAATGCACTTAACTCTACTGAACAGGTTACAGCTTTTTGCCCAGTCTAGTTTGTGGCATTTTTATTTCTCCAATATACAGACCTAAAATACACTTTTGAAGTGTTTTCCTCAAGTGTTTATATTTAGAAAAACTGTCCTTGAAACCCAGAATAAAGCCAGCCATGAAGAGTGAGTAGGTGTTTAACAACTTCAAACACCACTCCAGTTTCTTTATCTTTCAGAAATGGTGACCCATGGGACCCTCTTTCATATTACTGCTGACTCGAAGTACCCAAATGCTTTCAGCATAGCAGGTACAGCAGCTTACAGATCCTCTCTGAATTTACTGACTGGGTTTGTTTGAGTGTGCAGAGGGCCTGCCAGAGGTGGGTTAGTTCCCCCTTTTGAGGAGCTGGCAGGTGAAGCTCAATGAATCTGCTGCCTTAGCTGGAAATGAAACAAAGTTTGTGCTTTAAATTAACAGCAATTCAGGTCTAGGATAAATGTACAGATTGCAGAGGAGTGGCTCTGGTTGTCCACTCCGCATGCTAAATCGTGTAGGGGGATGGATGAATAGTTTGCATCTTTACTTATTCCTTATTAGGTATGGCTGGAGTGGTGGTGGAGCTAATGTTTGTCAGAGTCTTTAATGCTCTGAAACTTCCTGCTCTCTGCACTGCTTTCTTCCAGCAATATGAGTTTGTACTTTGCTTATGTGCATTGCAGGGTGACAGAGGAGCTGCTGTTGCCCACCCCCTGGGGCTAGTTATTGTCATACTGTCCCCTCAGGTGTTCTGATGAACTGGGGGGGGGGCAAGACTGAGATTCTCACGGGAACCAGGATTAGAGGTTCCTCATGGATTAAATTTCTTCCCTCTTTCCTTGACGCATGTGTTGGTGGGGATTTTGTGTGTGCTTTGGTTCAGTGCCAGGCTTTATGGACAGGAGGAGGAGGTGGGAAAGAGGCAGGGACTCCATACAGTAGAGTAATTGCTGCAGCTCTTACCTCATCAAATAAGATAATGAAATTTGATTTGGTTATATTAATTATTTGGATGGATTGAGAGAAAATGTGTCATTAACTGTGGAGCAGAGGAGGATATTAGTAACCTTGTGACAAGTAACCTTGTCACTTTTCTCTTTGCAAGAAGGGACAAGAGGTCAGAAATTGTTGCCTGTGGAACAGAGATGGGTTAGCATAAGGTATGGGCAAAATTACCAGCTACCCCAAGAACAGCATCGTATTTAAAGTACTGGGGTTTAGTGTATAACAAAGTTATGGAATTTGCAGTTTCTTTACAGAGCTTCAGGGAGTGAGGGGGAGACTTTCTACATCCACTCCCATTTCTGTGTTTCTAAAGGGCTTAAATAATTACAAACTAAATGTGAATCAGACTCTCCTGGGGATAGGAAATGTAGTACTTTGCCAAAAGGTTGTTGATGGGTGACCCGTTTATGGAATGTGGAAAAGAAAAACTATCTGCTAACAGCTTGTTTTGCCTGTGAACTCATAAATTTTCTAACAGAACCGTGTTATCTTTCAGTTCTAAATTGCACAGATAGTTGCATACTTGAAGTGCTTTGCTATAGCTGTACTTCATGAGGTTGGTTTCATGAAAGGTTTTGTTTCTTTGTTCTTTGCATTTTGATTTTAAAATAATTTTCTATACTCCTTTGTCCTCATACTGCATGGAAAACTTGAACTTTTGCCTACATGATGACTCCTATGCTATCTAGCCAAAAATACCTGCCTGTATCTGAAAGTGCTCATCACATTCTGAGGCAAATTGCAATGGATCAGAGCGCTCTTGCCAACAGGAGAAAGAACTTAACTTGTTCTTTTTGGTTCTTTCTGATACTTGAGTACATGTACTTTATAGATTTCCTAATTTCCTGCTATTAAACTTAAGTAAATCTTGAATTCTGAGTATAGAAAGTTTGTATTACGCCAGAAGATTTCAGATTCATGTTACCAGACTTCAGTCTCCTTCCTATCTGATACTAAATGTGATTAAAATAAAAACCTAAAGATTGTAATTATTCACAGCAATGAAAGCAGAAGAATAAAACTTCAAAAACAAACATCCAAAAGAAAGACACTTGAGTTACAAGGAATTTTAAAAGGAGTCTGGGTTACATCTGGGAGGAACATACAACTAAAAGTGTTCCTTAAAGATAAGGCTCTATTATGATGGGACATTTTGAAGGAAAATTAGACTCCTTTTCTGCTGACAATGCATGGTGAAGTATGACTGATAGAAATGTTTTCTAATGCAGCTTTGCTAGCTGTATGGATAGGGGCCAAGCCACATTTGAACTGTTTCTGAAACCAGACAAATAGGCATTGTTTATCCTAGACGAGCCAAACTATTTCAGAAAACAGTTCAGTCAGAGCAACATTCATTTCTAGTCTTAATTAGTTTTCAGAATTACTGTAGAGGGAGGACATTTTTCATCCACGTCCTTTTTGACTTTCTTCTTTCCTCCAAATCCCCCTGTTCTTCATCCCACTGGAGTAATTGCAGCCATCAGCAATTGCAGTGGAAGTGCATGTGGAGCTAAACTGAGCCCTGACAGAGTTGGTGTGCTGCATGCCTGCTGCAGGCAGAGTGAGAGCAGTGTTAAAATGCTAATTCTCTCCCTGTACTAACATTCTTGCTGTCATACCGCTGATGAAGGCTGTGGTGGAAGGTTTCCAGAAAAGACTTGATTAGTATACCTTTCTATTGTAATTAAGATACTGTATTAATTTGAACCAGATATAGTCTTACTTATTTTCAGCCTTTAAAAAGACTATTCAGTGCTTCCAGAGGCTTCTTACCAACAAGTGTTCTTTACTTGATGTGTTTTTAAAAATAAAAATAAAAAAGGAGTAAAAAAGTCCTTTTATGAAATAGTTGTGGTGTTTGGGTTTTTTTTTTAGTCTCCTCTGTTGCTTTGCACAAGTGTCAGTGTCAGGTTGTTAATACCACATTGTTCAAGTTAGTAACACTTTCTGAAAATTGTAATCCCAAATTAGTTTCTATTTTTACCTGCAAAAATAGAAAGGACTGCTGTATCTGTTAAATAAGACATTCAGAAGAGGGACATGAGAAACCTTGGTCTTACCAAGAAAACAGATGAGTTGGCAAAAGGAAACATTTTTCTGTCCTTGTGTATCAACAGATTTTTGGTCATATTGTCTTCCTGTCTAACCCCACCCACCAAGTTATTACTGAAAAATGCAGTCGTAACTGAAAGGGAAGTTAAGTAATTGTTAAAAATATTTAGCAAAGAGGTTGTAAGTTTTTACTTGGCTGTGTAAGTTTTATTTATTTACAAGAATGTTGTCATTAAATGCTTATATTCTGAGAATATGCACACCCACATGGGCTCTTCTCCAGGTTTTCCCGTCAAATGAGACAGAATGTGAACTTCAACACAGAATTGAGAAAAAAAAATGGTTTTAATAATTGGCTTTCTATCTTTGCAGAGTCTTCCAGCTAAACTATAACTTGATTTTCATTAGAAGGGGTTGGGTATGGTTTGTGTACTCCAGGGGTTTTGGACCAATTTCTCTAAGATAACAACCTAGGGGGAAAAATGCACTTGGCAAGTCCTTATAATATATGGGGAATTTCTGCATAATGTTACTTAGTTGTTTCCTCTTTGAGACATTAACCACATTGTAATAATTTTTTTTTCTTCATTAAGCCAAGGACCCTTGTCATCCATAAGAGCAGCGATCAAGAGATGTAAGTCCACTTTTCCTATTTTTTTGAGAACCTTAATATTGTAAGTTTCCTACATCTTCATTTTTAGTAACTGGTTAATTTTATATGTGAAAACAAAGTAGCTAGCAGACTTTGGGGGGGCTGTAATTTCTTTCTCAGCCTTTTTTTTTTGCTTCACATAAGACCATCTTTTTGCTTTGCTGATAGGCTGTTCCTTCTTGCCAGTTACTGACATTTTCTTATTTATGCACTAATGCATTTTGCACAGATGTGATCCATCTCTGAAGAACTTATGTTACACATGCCCAATTTTTGGTTCACTTGACAAAACAGAAGATTGTTCTATTTTAGTGGAAATCTGCAGCAACTGTTGACTATACTGGGGACAGGATTAGACTCATGCACTGGGCTCATTTTGGAAAACAAAAAATTGTTTATAAGAATCAAAGTCCAAACTCTTCTTCACCGTTTTCATCGGTTAGCTCCTCTTTGCTTTTCCCTGCTCATGATATTTCCAGGCACATAATTTCTTTAGCTGCATCTTCCAAAGTATTTTGTGCTGTTTCTTCTGCTTTTCATTTTTACTTTCTTTCTGTCCATGATTTCAATTTCATATTAATGAAACAAGCATCAGAATTCTGCTATGGGGGAAAATAAATTAGTGTATGTACCACTGATTTATTTCTCCCAGATTTATTAATCAGGGGCTCATTAGTATGGATTAGGTTGGAGGTGGTCAAAGGGGATCATGAAAGCTTTATTCAGAGCAAGTCTACATGACGCTGTAGTTGAAATGCAGCACTTTATTTGTGCTGTTGCTGCCATAGATAGGAAGCTGAAAAATAGAGAGCATCAGATCACAGAGAGCCTTTTGTGGTAGAGTCAGAAATTAATTGAGACTGCCTAAGCCCCAGTACCTCATCTAACTTAGAAAATATCTAAAAGATCATTAAGCAATTGATCTCTGTGTTTTTGAAAATATAGTAGCAAGTGATATCTTCTTTTAAGGAACAATCAAGTAAAAAAAAATTATTCAAGAAGACCTAGCTCATATGTTATAACATTATATTAATAATATTAATATGTAAATAACTACAGTTAACTAGATGTACCATATGAATTACTCATGTGATAACCTATAAAAAATATCCCCATGCACGTATCAAAGCATTGTATATGAAACCATAGTTCATTGTATGCCAGTCAGTAACCATACCTGTGGATGGTCCTAAATTAAAAATGGACCCTGAGTAATTCCTAACTCTCCTTGCCAGTAATCTGCAGGAAGTATGGTATTCTCTGGAGAAGTGTATTTCCCTAGCAGAGTTAGAAATCTGTCTTTATTTCTTCATCACAGTTTATTCCTAAAACTATCTCTAATTTTCAAGAAACATGACAGGTGTGCGCAGGATTTCAACTATCCAGTGTTTGGACAACGCTTTATATGACTTTGTATCAGTCAGTCTCTCCCTGTTTTGTGGCCAAAGAGGAAGAGGGTTTATTTTTCTTTCAGCTACCCTGACTAAAAGTAGACAGAAGGATGGTGTCATTTTGTTTCAGTCGTTTGTCAGCTCAGTAGAATTCAGAACAGTGAGCCCAGTATGTCTGAGGAAAGCAAGCATGTGAACGAATGATGTGCTTGGGAGTAATTTTTTAATCTCAACTCTTCACAAGATACCCTGGATTTTTAATGATTGTCTTGGGCCAGAACACGCCACTAAATCCAGCTCCCACTGAAATCGGTGAAACTATTTCCATAGGCACCCACGCAGGAACATGCACAAGAACGCCAAGGAAAGTAAAAAGAGGCAAACCAAGTGCTGCAGTAGTGAGACAAAGGGGAATGATGTTTTTGCTTGCTTCTCCACACTTCCAGAACAGTGTGGCATTAAGGAGCAGGACTACAGAAGCAAGTCTGCTGCCCTAAAATGTTGGAAGAACCTGCAAGCTTGTTCCATTCTCAATCTGTCCTAAGCAAATATGTGGCTGCATGAAGAATGTGTAACAGCTTGTATGCACTCTGAGGCTGTGGCTTCCCATTTGGCAGTTTTGCAGCCATTTTTGGCTGTGGGTTTTGTTTGTTTTTCATTTTCATTTTGTTTTGCTTGGGGGCTTCCTAGGTTCTTTTGGCTCCCACTTTTTCCCAGCCAGATCAATTATGTGACCTCATTCTCTCCCCATCTGCACAAACATTTGGGCTCACATAATGCAGGAAATGGTGCAGAGGCAGGAACATACAGCCCAAGGAAAGGTGTAGGAAGGAGTGAAGTGACTTCATAACTCACTATTGTCAAATTTGAGTGAAACTACAGGCTTGTTCTAAGTGTGTAGTTACACAGATTTTATTCAGCAGCAATGTCAGCCTCTACGTTGCCCAGCAGTTTGGTCAGCTGTGAAGAGGGTATTTAACCTCACTGGGGGTGGGAAGAGGAATCCCCATCACTCCCTTAGGTTATTTTTGATCAGTATCCTCACTGAAGTTGCTCAAAGAAGAACTGGAGCTGGGAAGCAGAGGCAGGAAACAAGAGACTGCTGTTGGGGTTGTCACATTCCTTCCCCTGTGCTGCTGGTGGTCTGAGCCCAGGGTGAGCAGGTTCAGAGAGATAAAACAGATAAAAGCAGTACAGAAAGTTCTTATTTTTTTATTTCACACTCTGAACTCACTTACTGTGCTGAGGTTTGTTCAGGAGGGGACAGAAGTCCATGTTTGGAAGGGGAATTGGGCATCACCATCTCTTTTAGCTACCTTTGAGCATTAAATAGCCCAGCACTAATATCAGACAACCTAACATTTCCCTGAGGTGCCTGGAAACAAAACTAGAAAAAAAGGAGCAAGACCTCCCCCTTGTGCCAAGAAATAGTTCAGGAGAAAAGCTTCAACTCTCTTACTTTCAGAGAAGCATGAAAATTTCCAATTAGTTTGAACCTCCACTTCTGCAGAAATAGTCTAATCGGATCTTGGGTGAAATCAGACTTTTTTTTTTTTTTTTTCCTGGTTTTGGCTTGAGGATTACCTGATCCTTTAGTGGTCCCTGAAGAAGGGCCTCCACAGCCATGTTTGGTATTGCAAAGACCACACGTGTGGCCTCTTGCATGGCACCATTCTGTCGGCTCTTCTGGTGTATTACTTTGTAGGTAAGGGAGGGAGTGTTTGCCCGCTCTTGAGTCTCTCCTTCAGACACTGTAATGAATAACCTGTATTCCCAGTCAGCTATATAGTGAGAATAACTTCTCAGTCTAATAGTCTACATATTTCATAGGACTGATGGTAGAAATGTCTAGCTCGGTGTTAGAAAAGCATTGAAAGAAGCTGTGTTTTCAAATATTAGCACATGTCCTTGTTGTAGAAAGTAGTAATATTACTTAAAAACCTTTTAGTAATAGATAATATGAATTAACTGAAATAGTTAATTGGAAGGATCATGTTTACTCACAGCTGCTGGAAGGGACAATAGATAAAAATCATCAGAAAAATCAGGAGCTTGATTTCCCACAAGGCTTAGGCTATTTGAGGCTATAGTTCCAATCTTTAATGCAAAATTAAACTTGCTTTTAAAACACTGCAATGACAAAACTGTTCAGTATTTCATACAGATTTGCTAATGGAAACATAGGAATACTATTATGCAGTGTCTTATGTTGTGGAAGTGCACAGTGCTCACGTCAGGATGGTACCTCTGAGCAGATCCCTGAATGAACTTCGTAATTGCCTCTATATTGCCTTAAAAGATTACCTGAAAGACTGTAAATTCTAGCCCAGCTATCTTCCAAAGAGTCAAAACAGCATGTCAGACTTCTGTTGCCACCAGTTTGTCTGCAGCGTTGCAGTTTATGGGTTTGTGATATAATGTTGGTTGTACTTATACTAGCACTTTAATCTCACAGTGTAAAATGCCCCCCATGCCATAATCTCTATGTGTTCCCAGTACAAATGACATATTATGTGCACTTGAAAACTGGGACACAGCGAAGAAACAGTAGAGGATAAACATTTGAAACATAAGTATACAGCACAAACTGAGTACCCTTTAGCACTGCATAATCAAAAATAATTCAATAAAGCCCACTAAATAGTGCTTGTAAGAAATATGTACAGAAAATTAATTTGTAAATCACTGATCTGTCCTCTATTTACAGTATTACTATTAATCCTTTACTTGCTTAAATTCTGCTATACTGGTTTAAAAGCATTTAGATGCCTCATTGACACTATCGGAAATAAATAGTGACATTATAAGTTGATTTGACATTTTTTTCCTTTCCCCTGAGACCAATAAGATGAAAAAGTGTGGATTTTATGCAGTCAGTTTTTTCTCTCCTAACCCTTCTTTAACTGCTTTGCTTACCTTTTACTTAAATACCATTAAGTGTATGCTTCTGGAAATGTCAGCAATTCTCACCGTTAAGCATTTCTTAGTGTGAAAGTTGAGGAGCCAACAAGTTGTCAGGATGTAAACCAGCACTGAAATGCATTTCTTTTAACTCCCCTGATGGAAGAAAGGTTTTGCAAATCTTAAAGCTGTCAAAATTTGAAATTTTGGGGGAAAATTAATAGTGTGCTTTTTCAAGGCAATCCACAAAGGGAATGAGAAATAGATGTACAGGTTCAAAAGACCACTGTTGTGGTTTAAGCCCAGAGGACAACCGAGTACCACAAAGCCCCTTGCTCACCCCTTCCCCCTCAGGAATGGGAAGGAAAAAATAAAACAAAAGGATAAGTACAGGGAGGAATGATACACCCAGTAGGGCCATAGGCAAAAGACAGACTCATTAGGTGAAGAAAAAGAACAATTTAATTCAAACAACAACAACACTTAACAGAGTAGGACAGTGAGAATCATTACCATATCTTTAAAACACCTTCCCCCCACCCCTCCCTTCTTCCCAGGCTCAGCTTTTCTCCTAATTCTCTACCTCCTCACCCACAGTGGCACAGGGGTCAGGGAATGGGAGGTGCAGTCGAGCCCACTGCTCCTTCCTCCTCAGGGGGAGGAATCCTCATATTCTTCCCCTGCTCCAGCGTGAGGTCCCTCTCACAGGAGACAGTCCTTCATGCGCTTTCTCTGATGTGAATTCTGATCCTTCCCATGGGCTTTAGCCCTTCCTGAGCTGCTCTGGTGTGGATCCGTCCTACATGTTGCATTCTTCCCAGCACCAACCTACAACAGCCAGGACTTCTTCCTTCGGAGTTCTGGCCTGCTCTGGACTCAGTCACCAGCTCTGGTGTGGGAGCCTCCATGGGCTGCAGGTCAGCATCTGCTCCACCATGGACCTCCATGGTGGCAGGGGGGTGGCCTGCCATCTCAACACAGGCTGCAGACTGGTTCTCTGTACTGCTGAACCTCCCCCCGTTCCTCCTCATTTCTTCCACTGACTTCAGTGTTTGCGTAGGTATCCTCCTCCCAACTCTCACTTCTCCTACCAGGTTCCCTTTCTTAAATATGTTATCACAGAGGTGCAGTCACCATTGCTAATTGGCTCAGCCTTGGCCAGAGGTGGGTCTGACTTGTAGCCAGGGGAGCTTTGAGAAACTTCTCACAGGGGGCCACTGCTGTAGCCCCCTCCCCGCTACCAAAAAACCCTGCCACACACAAAAACCCAGCACGACCAAAGGCCAGAAAAATGGCTGTGCGTTTTTTTTCTTATGTTTTTAAATCAGGTGTATGCTATATTTTAAAAATTCATGTCTTCTCTCATACACTTTAGAATTTAAATTCATTTATTTGAAATGGTAAAGGAATAAAAGCTGTGCAAATCTGGGGGCAAGGATTCTTCAGGAAGTTTCTATTTTCTTTGGCTAGTATTAGTGGAACTCCAAGAAATACATGAAAGCAGAAGTTGCAGTAGCTTTCACCACTGCTCCTACTGCAGATTTAAGAGCTTCCAAAACAAAAGATGTTCTAAAAGTGTAGTTATAACAAAAACATGACAACAAAAAGAGGGGAGCAGGTGATGGAAGGAGGGAAGAACTTGCTGAAGGTCCTTAAAAAATAAATGTTTATGTTAAATCTTTATGTACATGGAAGTAACTTGATTCCATAAATGCCTGGGTGAATTTTTTTTTTGAAACACAATGAGTACATTCTGAAAACATATATGATGGCTTGGCTGTTAGCCCTTTTGAAGAGACATATTTATATCTACTAGTACAGTGTTTTCTAGTGAGTTTTCTTGAAATTTGGATTTTGATGGATTACATAGATGCTTCACTGGAGTTTTTTTGCCTGTGTTAAGAAAGGTCTTTCAGATATTTTTTTAGGTTTTTCTTGTTTTAACAACTTCAATAAATAGAAGTACATTTAGAGTCTCACAAGAGAAAGCACCATATAGAATTTAGCTAGAAATTAAGAAAGAATGAAAGATGATTATCAATTGAGGTTTACATCGCTCATTAATTAGCTTTTATTTCTAATGCCCTTATCACTGTAATTCAGCTATACTCCAAGCAGTTGTATTGAATATGTTTACCAAACAAACACTTTCTTCCATCCTCTTTGCAAAAGTAATCTTGGAATTTATTGGTTTGGGTCAATGTATATGGTTTTTTTCTTTAATGTGTGTTTAAGATCAATGCTGTGTTAAGATCTCTGAAGAAGAAAGTGAAGGTGAAGTTTACTTATTTTAGCCAAAAAATTTTTACAGAACTGGCTTAGGAGATGTGCAGTCATGCCTGAAATTTTGAGGTGTGCCCCTTATTGGGATCAAGCTGCCTGCCCATACCTTTTTGGTAGGTAGGAATATAAATTATGGAATCCCAGCTTCTTTGCATCTGTATCAGCTCCTCAGTGTAACCCATTATTTTTGGAAGGGAAAAAGCGCAGACCCAAATAAACCATGATTTTAAACTAAATAAAGCATTCAAAGAGATTTTGACTTCCATCTCCCCATTTCTACAGTGGCTCTTTGTTGAGCCATACAGTGAACATTCCCATATTCAGTTACATTCTTCATGGTTAATTTATTACAAGGGAACCTTCTGAGGAGCCATTGTTAAAATCAGCATGAGACCAGAAATAAAATCTGCTTTTGTTTTAGTTTTTTAAGATGCTATATTGTGAGTAGATGTTACAGTTGTCCTCTTACAACACTGGCACGTGCGCTATCCTTGTGTGACTAACCCATTTGATCATGGTTTCTGGCACTCTGAAGCCTTAGTTTGTGCTCTTTCACCTTCTCTTCTTCTTCTGTAACCCCTTCTTTTTTCCCTCTAGCACTCATGAATAGTGCACATCAAAAATGCCCTGTGGAAGAGGTATGTCTGACACAATAGTATACGACTCTTGAATCAAGTAGGCTTTGTCAATTCCAGCTAATGACTCTGTGATGACACAGGAACAGCATAATTGTCAGCTTTTGCACAATAAGACTCTACTTCTTCCTAAATTGCATTTGCTATGCAAAAATTTGTCCCTCAGATAATTTCCTTTTCTCTCTAAAGAAATCAAAATGAAAATATAATGTGGCCCTTGACAAAAACTATTTGAATATGTCAAAAATAGAAAAATGAAGAGGTCAGGATTCACTTCTTTTATGTAACTTAAAACACATTATTTGGGGAAAAAAAACCAAAAATATTGCTGACTTTTAATCCATAGGTGATTAAACTTTAGGAAATTTCTAGCTGGGAATATTTAACTTTTTCCTTTTACATAAAGGAGGATGAAATAGCTTCTTACAAATTTATGCCTTAGTACATTTATCTTCTCTAAAACAAACAAAAAGAGGCATTAAGAAAAGATTAAAAACACATCTCAGAAATGAGCCATCAAAAGGAAACCCAGACATGTTTAACGCTTCTTTTTGTTTTATTCATGGATTATTTTAACTAAAGAAAAAGAAGTTTCAACTCTAGGGTCACCACAACGCAGAATGCAGGAACAGTGGTGAGGAAGAAGAAAGGGGACAGGACTATCTCTCTTGGTGGTAACTTGGAAATAGAGTGACTTAAACTGATTATGAAACTGCACCCTGAACCTTTTGAAAAATTCTCATATTTAATACAAATGCCGTTTTGTTGGTTTTTTTTTTTAAACTTGGCCACTCTTAAAATATGGAATTTATGATCAGATGCTGTATATTCTCCACTTCATTGGCAGATGATTGGTAATGGCTCTGTTATTGTCCTTGTCTTATTGTTGTGACAGTATATTTTAACCTCTTTAAAAAACTTTTGTTTCTTTTCTTTAAATAGCTTCGCGGACCTCTAGCCATAGTGAACAGCAGAGGGATAGAAGGTATGATGCTATTATTTATATTGCAGTTAGGTGTTACTGTAACACTCGTTAGACCGTGTCACAGTATTACTTTCTATTGCTTTCTCCTCTAGTTTATTTTTTCCTTCTTTCTGTCCTTAGTGTGTTTAAAAACAAATTAGACTTGAAATAAAATGGAAATACTGTGATTCTTAAGCACAGGGTAGGTTGACTTTGAGGATTTTTCTCATCAACTTTTGTGTATGTCCTCAAACAAAGAATGCAACCAACCATCAAACCTCCGCAGAATTGTTATACTTTCCTGACATCTATTTACTGGATCACTTCACAATGAAATTAAGCACACTTTCAGGCCTCCTTCTAGTTTCTCAAAGGGTACTGAGAAAGGAGTCACCAACCTGGAGGGGTGGTGAACTGAGTCTGCCATTATTTCAGGTGTGAAGGAACTGTAGCCCCCCTTTTTTAATCCTTCTTAGAATAGTTTTAGAAGTTACATTTCTGCAGGTTTTTTCTGTCAGCGGACAGAGGCTTCTATAGCAGATTCTTCATCTACCCACAAAACACACTTCTCAAAGTGTGTTCTGCGTGAGACTCTGGGGACCATGGTCTGGGAACGTGGGCCATCACTGCAGCTTATACTCTAAAGCAGTTGTTACAGTGATAAAACAAGGGTAGTATCTATGGGTCCTTAACTATCACAGAAGTCGCTATTGTACTGGATGCTATAAGCAAATAGGCCCTGTCTCAAAGGCCTCATGACGCTTGCTCTGCCCCACTTCAGCACAGTGGGAGGTTTCCCTAGAGGTCTGACGGCAGACAAGCTTTTAGGTAGCCAGCCAGAAGCTGGTTTAACTATCCTACTGTTTTCACATTGTAGCAGGCTAAGGGCAACCACCTGGTTAGCTCTCATTATCTCATGAAGACGAAGACTTCTTCCATTTAATTGGGTTACACTTGTGTTTAAGTACTTTAAGCATGTAAATTATTTCACTGAAGCCAATAAACCTACTTTTTGGCTTAGGCATTTAATTAGGTTCTTTGAATGGAAGCCTAAGTGCTTTGTAGAAAGGTCAGGTAAGTTACTTTGAAATCATGGGAAAACATCTTTGGTTAAATCAAAAAGACCTGAGCTATTTTGATTTTCCATGCTGTGAAAACCTTGGTCTTCTATACTTAAAAGAATTATTCTAAAATGTTTCAGGTAATTATTCCCCTCTGCCTTCATTTCCAGGCGTCCTGAAATTACAATAGTTGCTGCTGAACCCCTCCGGCCGTCGTCCTGGTTTCCAGGTGCAAGCCCTGTTGCTCCTCATGGATTAGGATTCCCTTCTGCTTCATCTCATGCTCAGTGGAGGAGAAATGAGCATATTCCAGCCGAGGTGAGCATGAATTTAGGAGGTGTGTTTGATTTACGAATGTAAAAAGCATGTTAAATTAGAGAGGAACAGAGTTTTTGCTTGCTTGGACTTTCATCACATTGAATAAAAGACTATGACAGTGTTCTTTTCCTCTGCATTTGTTAATTCAGTATTTTAAAATTTATATGCTTCTTTCTTTCTTTTTTAAAGGATCGCATCTGGAGGAACATTAATATTTATTTCTCTGTTTTGTAGCTTCCACCATCATATGAGCAGGTGATAAAAGAAATCAATCAAGTGCAAGTCAATACAACAAATAACAATAATGCTGCTGCTCCTAGACATACCACTACTTCTGCAACACAAACTGACTTTCCAGAGGAACTAATCAGCCATTTGCCAGGAAGTAATGTTAAAACTAGTGTGCCTACACACTGGGAGTCTTCAGGCTATCCAGGTGAGGCTGTTTTGGATTTCTCACTGATTAAAAACCTTACTCCGTCTCTTGAAGATGTTCTTTATTATTGGTCTGTGCAGCATTTAATATGAATAACAGTTAAATTTCTGTGAATGGTTATGGCTGTAAATTTCTGGAAAAATCCTCTTTTCTGAAGAACTACCATTTCATTCACAGTCAGACTATAATTAAATCTTAACAGTTTTTCTCGATTCAGCCATAATGGCTATTGCTTTGGGGCCAAAGATGCTCAGATGTCCAGTCAGAATAGAAGCAGTGTTATATGTTCAGACTGAAAACTGTGCCAACCAAGCTGGGAAAGTTGCTCTACTATTCTTTGGTCTAGATGTTGCTTGCATGCCCCTCATGCTGTGAGCTAACAAGTAGTTATGAACTCACAGTGTGTAGATACCATGCATTTCAGCAATCTTCAGCTTCTTCCTAGAGTTTGTATATTTTTTCATTCATCTTTTTAGAAAGAGAACTGCAGTTTCACAAGCAGCAGTAAGTCCTGAATTGAAAACCAATTGAAAACCATTATGTTTACCATCCTGATGGGTGGCAAAAAAAAATAACATAAATAGTGTTCTGGAATAGATAACCGAAGTCTTTTTTTTTTTTTTTTTTTTTCTTTTCTGTTATCAGGGCAGAGTCCTCTTAAACCTCCTAGGCCTTCTGCATCTCTGCTGAATAGGTCTGCTTCAGAAAATGAGAATCCCTTAATAGTCTTTGAAATTTCTGAAGGTCAGAGGTGCCAAGAAAATCCCAATGCTGTGATATATCCTGTGCCAAAGCCAAGATCAAGAAGCAATCTCAGACCTGTGGTCAAAAGTACAGAAAGTAAGATAGACAATGGAGAAGTGAACCAGTCTACTACAAAAAGGCAGCAGCCTTCAATTCAGCAGTCACCTCTCTTAGATGATAGTATACTAGACAATCACTTGGTGATGGACAGCATGAGTACAGAAAAGAGCCAAAATAGTATTGTTTCAAGGATCAAAGTTTTTGAATCCCAAGGAACTACTGATACCTCAGGATTATCAAAAAAGCCAGAAATTGCCCCTCGTTCATTTGCCCCAAGACCTGTTACTGCAAAGAAGCCAGTAGTTGCTCCAAAGCCAGGAGTAAGCAGAATTTCAGAAGACTGGGATGCGTGGACAGAAAGCAAATCAACACCTTCCAAGGAATTGCAGCCTCAACCTGAAATAGTTGGGAGCAATGTTGTAACCAAACCTGAACTGCCAAAGAAGCCAAAACCTGGCCTCGTTAAAAGTAGTAGTAGTGATTTTCTCGATGCAAGGAGTGGATCAGTTGCAGAGAACAGCGATGGACAAAAGAAATTTCCTGTTCCTGCTCCAAGGCCTCTTGTTCCTAAAAAAACACGTTATGTAGAAAATCCTGCCCTTTCTTTGACCCCACTAAAATCGATTGCTGCTCCTCCAAGGGCTTCTGTATCTCCCCAAGAAAAAGTTTTCAAGTCTCTGGGGGAATTGTCACCTGCAGCCAACTCCTCAGCACCTGTTTTGCAAAACAAAGACGTGGAAGGAGATCTGATCAGTTTTGATGATGATGTTTTGACCCTAAATCCAACTTGTGTAGTTAAAGGTAGCATCAGTTCTGAAGCAGCAGCAGGTAAGGAGAAATTTTTTTAAAACTGTCACTGTGGTTATTTTGTGCGGGTGTATGATCCTGTGTGAGTTATGTCTACCTGACTTGATGGGATTTATGTGTGTATGTGAAATTCTTGGTTTTCTATTATGTCAAGATCACTATGAAATTACTTGGATTTTGAGACTCAGGAGGTTTCAAGGCTATATAAATCTCAGAACTTGCCTGTTGAATTTATTACATGATTACTAAAATTATGATAAAAGACTTGATGTTATACACTAGACGTCACCTCCAGAGTGTATCACATTTCTCTCTGGGGAACCTGGGACATCTACTCTCTTGCCATCTAATCTGTCTAATTTATTTGAGGGCCTGAAGTTCTGTCGTGGAAACCTAGTCATCTAGAGGAGCAGCAATGTTTGTTGCATTTAGAGAAACTTGTGATCAAACATTGTGGGATACTCTGCTCATCTCACCAGTGTCTACTTATTTTCTCTTTCCTAGCCTTGTGTCTTGTCTTGTCATGCGACGATATTCTTGTTGCATAACTTCAGTTTTTTTCTAGGAAGTGAAAATAATTATTTCACATGGACAGATTAATTACTGCAACTACATCCCTTTCATAAACCTTGTTTGATTCCATTAAGCACTTGGGGTCGATTTTTTTTGTTTGTTTTTATGCTGCTTTAAGCAGTTGAAAACACAGGTGGGTGTTGGGCTGTAATTAAATTTTACAGCAATAGGTTTTTCCCTCTTAGTATTCACATATGTCCCAATTTAGCTCACCAGCCCCATTGCCATCCAGGGAGAGTTCTGCTTTAAAACAGATGATATATCATACAAAATGCTTGTTTAAGGAACTAGTTATGATTTTTTAATATTATTTTTTAGCCTCATTTATCATTAAATATCTCAGCTTTCTGAAAAGAGAAGCATACATGCTGTGTAGTTGTCATAGCAAATCTATATTAATCATTGTTAACAAATGCAGTTTATTCAGAGTTTGTGGATTATATTGTTAGATGAAGTTCCATTTTGTTAGTGTTTATCCTCTGTATTGGCATAAAACCCCCAAGGCATATGTAGAAAGTCCGTTAAAGCCCTAAACTGTTAAGATAGGTATGTATGGACATAGAGATTTCAGGGGAGCTTATGAAAGCGGTGAAATAAGGCAACAAGATCTACAGGAGAGGTGATTAGCTCAACATAGATACAAGTCCATTTTCTCTTGGACTGACAGATTCCAGGAACTCTGCAGAAGCTATACCAAGCCTGGAAGGGAGCAGGAGTGACTGGAGAGGCATTTCGTACTTATGTCAAGGAATTGTATGACTGAAAGTGTCTAGCTTGGAAGAGAGTCATGATCATGGTGTCTGGACACGTGAGTTGTGGAACAGCCACTGTGCATGTGATGGTTTTAGAAGAAAGTTAGAAGCACAGGGGATGACTTGTTTTCTGTGCATTTAGGGTAAAACTTGTAGTTTCAGTCATTTTATTTTGATTCATAGATGCAATAAACAGGGAAAGTGTAACTCTTCCGAGTAGCAGGCAAGAAAAGAGAATACTTACATTTTGAAAGTGCATAACATGATGGTTTTGGCTATGTACATTAAAGAACTGCCTTTCTCCCAAGCTGGAAAAATTAAAAGCCATTATATCTTCTGTTAAATGAGAGGTTGAGTGATCCCAGATGAAAATCACCTGAAAAAATAGCTTTCGTGATGAAGTTATAAGAACGTCAGCCTTCATCTTTCTGATAGGTGCCCTAGGTGTTATTTGTGATTTAATTAAGGAGAAAATACTTTCCATTCTCATGGTTACAGAAGAATTATTCAGATAATAGTTTCCTGGCTTCTTGAGTCACCTGTCCGTGATTTTATTCATTCAATAAAATGGCATCTTTACTGCAACCCCTTCTTACCTACTAAAGAGAAAAAGACCTGACAGCATTATCACTTTATTACCCTGTAAAATTAGGATTCATTACAGATTTTTGCAAGCATTTGTGAGCTCAAGATCATATCCTGTACTCTTCATTACTAATGCGTGCTATGTCTTGACAAAGCATCCCCAAGAAGAACACTGACTTTCTGAAAAATGAGGCAACACAGAGCACTAACACTAGCTATTTCTCATGTTCCCATAGGAACAGCTTAGGATTTGCAAGATGAATCCATAGTAAAATGTTTGTAAAGGCAGGAAGAGAAGCTCTAATCTCGCTCCCAGTTCCCCAGACCTTTGCATTTCTTACATATTTGTCATTGTCATTACTTAGCAAAATGACAGCACTCTGCTTGTTGTTATGGCAACCCTAGGAAAGGAAGAAGGCTTTTATGCAGTGGTGTTTGAAACTAAGCACCAACAGCTTGTTTGTCAAAGAGCAGCGTTGCATCACAGATTACAGCATTCACAAAACTTAATTTTTGTGTGATACAGCACAAACGTGTCTGGTGTTTAGACTAATGGATGGGTTGATCGCTGCTGTGGTTGCTAATGCCTGATGCAAAAGTAAGAAAGTGAAGCATTCAGTTGATGATGGAGAAGGCGCAGAAGTTGAAGCGAGCATATGAATGAAAAGGTGAAACAGGCAAAACAAATTCAGAGTCTCCACAGCAATTTAGTTGGCTGACATAAGACATCAGCTTCCTCTTAACAGAAGGCTACCATCTCCACAGTAATGATATTTGAATATTATTTATGTGCTAAGATCAACAGTGTTGGCAACAAACCAGTTTATAGTTTCACCAATTTAACTGTCAGTGCTTAACTGGTGGTTTAACTACCAAATCTAGCTGAATTATTTTCTTTCAAGTTTACCTCAAGCAATCCCATGGGTTTCATCAGTGTTTGACAGCATCTCCACCAGCACAGCTGTTAGTAGAGTCAACTTGCCCTTATCAAAACATTAATGATTTTATGTCTGTCCAGCCTGTATGAAGAGGGGGAATTGTTTTGGTGCAAATAGCGACTTTGGGTACCAAGATCCCTTTCAAAGCTTTCAGCATCCACTCTGCCATTCGAAGTCTGTGGGAGCTTTGGAAGCTCAACAGCTATGAGATTCAGAGGTAAACTGGGGCAGAACCTTGCATCCAACTCATGTCTCTGATGCTGGCCCAGGGGAAGTGCTAGGAAGGAGAAGTAAGGAATGACAAATCTCTAGAACTGCTCCTTTTCTCAGCAGCCAAAATTGATGCCAGTTTTAAGTGCCATAATTTTGGATTCAAAGGCTAGAGATAATGTTCAAAGCCATTTGTATCTTAATGAAGTTACTCCTGTTCAAGTCAGTGATTTAGAATCTGAAAGCATCTGTTTGGGACTCTAAATCTTGAGGTGCTAATGCTTTGGTGACAGTTGTGATATTTGGGGTCATCTGGGGTGTTTTTGCGTTTCTCTTGTAGCTGATAACAGGGATTTGTGCAGTTCCTGAAGGTTAAAGGTTAATATTTTTGGTAATCTTTCAGGTGGGCTCTCTTCTCATTGTTCCATTTTTACAGAGAAATTAAATCCTAGTGCAATTTGAACTGAGTGTAAATTCCATGGCTTCAGAAGATCCATGAATTTACCCATAACTTGTATTATTTGCTATGTTAAAGCATGTAGTGTACCTGCTTGCTAAATGTTCTGAGGATCTATGTTGAACAAAGAAAATAAGGTAACAGTGCATTTAAAGCACACATTTAAATTAAAACTTGAAGGTGATCTTGCTAGAATTCCTTTTTGCATATGGAGAGTTACTGTTCACTCTCATGTTCTCTCTCTCTCTCTAAAACAGCATATCATTCACTGATTGCTCTATGCGTGATACACCAGGGCTCACTTAAAACCAAATGCTTTGAAAAGTAGTTCAGAGAGCGCCTTAGCTTACCAGCAAAAGACAGCTCTTTTGATATCTTCATCATATTACTGTATTTCAATTCTAACAGTAATATGACCACTGCATTTCTTAATTGTTTTATCTATCTGTCTGTCTATCTATCTATCTATCTATCTATCTATCTATCTATCTATCTGTCTATCTATCTATCTACTTCATTGCAGTATAAACATTCATTTCTGCCTGCACGGCAAAAATACTGCAACCAAACCAGTGCTGCTATCCATTTATATATATATTATTACTTCCTGTGGTATGAATGGTTGAATTTGTGTGACATTGCAGTTAAATCAGTAAAACTGCTGCTTGAGTAACTCCAAATTTGTCTGCTGTGGGGTTATTGCCCAGCTGCTTGCTTTTAATTGCTTCCTCAGGAAGGGGAAAAAAAAAAAGAAAAAAAGACGGAAATATTTCTAATTGATAGATTAGTGCAGACATATCTTCAAAATAATACAGCTTTTCTTAGGGTTCTGCTGTGTTACTTCAAATTACTCTTGTTGTAGTTATTTTAAAGTTACCTGTCTCCTTTTTACGTACTGCCAAAAGTATCATCCCTATAAGAGTGAGCTGTCTCATCCATTTTAATCTGCTATTTGGCTTAAACCCCCAACAAAAACAGATTTAACTGAAGACATGCTACTGTGAGGTGGACTAGTGGTGGTATGGGTCTATGCCGTGTCCTGTTGGTTTTGCTGCAAGGTTGGCAATTTCCAGTAGATATGGTAACAAGCATCCATTAACTCTTGAGATGCTACAGGTGTTTGCTTAGTAAGCATAAATTGGAGTCTTCAGGGAGCTTGAAAGTGACTCCACTGTTGCCACAGGAGAGAACCTTCTATCTAGTTTCAGGGAAAAAAAAAAAAAGTTTTTAAATCATAGCTACATAATAGATGAGGAGCCCTTTAGGTTGTCAAATGCTAATGAATTTGCTTTTGAGTTCCAGGTCTATAGATGCTGTTAAGTGATAACACACAAGTAATAATGTTCTTAATCATAACTGTCTTCTCTGATGATGAATTCTGTTTTACAGTAACATTTAAAACTGAAATATTCTTTGATCAGAAAGATTTTCAAAGAACAACAAAACGTTTATTTAAAAGAGATGTTTATAAAGAATATTTGTTTTTTCCTTTGCTGAAAGCTTGTG